CCATTCTTTTTCCAATTTCTCAAAGTAGATGCTTAGCTTATTGTCAGCTATTTTCTGTAAATAAGTGTGGAAGTTTGTTAAAAAGTTTTTAAGTTTCCCTTAGCTGTGTCCTACAAGTTTTAAAATGTTTCATTTTCATTATATTTAGTTCTAAGCTTTTTTTTTTTTTTTTTTTGAGACAGAGTCTCACTCTGTCACCCTGGCTTGTGTGCAGTGGTGCGATCATGGCTCACTGCAAATTCCACCTCCTGGGTTCAAGCGATTCTTGTGCCTCAGCTACCCGAGTAGCTGGGATTACAGGTGTGTACCACCACACCCAGCTAATTTTTATAATTTTAGTACAGATGGGGTTTCACTATGTTGGCCTGGCTGGTCTCAAACTCCTGACCTCAGGTGATCTGTTTGCTTCAACCTCCCAAAGTGCTGAGATTACAGGTGTGAGCCACAGTGCCCAGCCAGTTCTAAGCATTTTTAAAATTTCCATTATTATTTTTTGTTATTTATATATGTGTATGCCCAACTGGATTTTTAATCTGTTTTTGTTGATGACCACCATCTTAATTAATTCTTGGGTCACAAAATCACTTCTCAATGTATACTGAATACTCTCTGTTTCCCAGAATGAAACATGCTTTTCTGGCCTCTGGATCTTTGTACACTGGCCTCTGCCTGCATACTCCCCTAGACCACTTTGTAACTCCTACATCTCAGTGCTTTTTAAAATAAACAAACCAAGCCACTTCCTCTGCAAGCCTGCCTTGAACTCCCAAGTCTGCATTAAATGGCCTTTGAGACAGGGTCTTGCTCTGTCACTCTGGCTGGTGTGCAGTGGTGTAATCTTGGCTCACTGCAGCCTCAACCTCCTTGGCTCAAGCAATCTTCCTGCCTTAGCCTCCTGAGTAGTTGGGACTACAGGCATGTACCACTATGCCTGGCTAATTTTTTTTTTTTTTTTTAGAGAGAGAGGTCTCACTGTGTTGCCCAGGCTGGTCTTGAACTTCTGACCTCAGGTGATCTGCCCGCCTTGGCCTCCCAAAGTGCTGGAGTTACAGGTGTGAGCCACTGTGCCTGGCTCCTGCTCTTCTAAGTGCTCTTGTAGCAGCCTGTACTTAACTTTATGGCTGCTTTTCTGTTTTCCTCACTAGAATGCAAACTCCTCGAAAGTCCTGCTTAGTGCTCGGGTCCGTGGTAGGCGATCAGTAGAGTTGCAGAACGAAGAGAGGGAATTATACCTTCTTAATTCCTAGGAACAATTCCCACCCTTAGGACACAGAGAACAAACAATACATGGGCATAAATAGCTTTTTTCCTCTGCACAATTACATTCAGATCCCTAGTGTCATTCTTTTTTTTTTTTGTTGAGACAGAGTCTCGCTTAGTCGCCCAGGCTGGAGTGCAATGGCGCGATCTCGGCTCACTGCAAGCTCCGCCTCCCAGGTTCACGCCATTCTCCTGCCTCAGCCTCCCGAGTAGCTGGGACTACAGGCGCCCGCCGCCTCGCCCGGCTAATTTTTTGCATTTTTAGTAGAGACGGGGTTTCACCGTGTTAGCCAGGATGGTCTCGATCTCCTGACCTCGTGATCCGCCCGCCTCGGCCTCCCAAAGTGCTGGGATTACAGGCGTGAGCCACCGTGCCCGGCCCTTTTTTTTTTTTTTTTTTTTTTTTTTTTTTTAAGATGGAGTCTTTGCTCTATCGCCAGGCTAGAGTGCAGTGGCGCGATCTTGGTTCACTGCAACTTCGGCCTCCTGGGTTCACGCGATTCTCCTGCTTCAGCCTCCCAAGTAGCTGGGATTACAGGCACGTGCCACCACGCCCGGCAAATTTTTGTTGTATTTTTAGTAGAGTTTAGTAGAGCCTGTGCTAGCCAGGACGGTCTCGATCTCCTGACCTTGTGATTCGCCTGCCTCGGCCTCCCAATAGTGTCACTCTTTATGATTACGATCCATCTGTGGCTGTTCGTTTCACCCCACTCCACGTGACTCAGGTCCCTGGGGAGGCCTATTCTCTGGAGTAGGGTTGGGTCTAGGCTGGACTCAACAGCCTCCCCTTCCCTGACTCTAGGCCAATGAGTCCCTGCACTGAGCCTTCTTGCCAGCAGGTGGCACTTGAAGCCTGAAAGCTAAATCAGACTCTGTCTCCTCCTCCTTCCTGTTCTGTTTCTTGAGAGGGCACATAACCCTGCTTGGGCTGTGCTAAGGCTTGCAGTTGGATACCCTCGCCAAGGAGCCTGGCTCCTGGCTCCCATGCTGCGGTGCCTGCTTCCTTGCCTGGGTGCAGTCATTGCCTGGACCTCTCCTTTGCCTTAGAGTCCAACAGGGTTAAAGAGCATATGCTCTAGCCAGAACTAAAACTAGGTGGGGTACTTAAAGATCATGTATGCACATTCTGTTTTTGAGACAGGGTCTCACTCTGTTGCCCAGGCTGGAGTGCAGTCGTGTGATTTCGGCTCACTGCAACTTCTGCCTCCAGGCTCAAGTGATCCTCCCACTTCAGCCTCCGGATTAGCTGGGATTACAGGTGTGTGCCACCACACCCGGCTAATTTTTGTAATTTTTTGTAGAGGTGGGGTTTTGCTGTGTCGCCTTGAACTCCTGGGCTCAAACTCCTGGGCCCAAGCGATCCTCCCACCTTGGCCTCCTATAGTGCTGGGATTACAGATATGAGCCACCATGCTGGATTAGCTGAGTCTTGGAGAAGCGGAGGCTTATTCTATCTAGAAGAAACAATTTGAATAAAAAGCAAAGCAGAAATCAACCCTGTGTGTTCCCATATGTTCCCCAGCTTATCAAAAACTCTGCCTACTAAAATCCTCTCTGGCTGCTCACGTCACCTTGACTTTTTCCTTGGGGACCTTGGTCTCTTCTGGGTGACTTAGCTTGTACCTCTCACCTGCACATTTAACCTATTGTGCCAAAGTGCGGCTGTCATGTCTTCTTGAGCACCTGTACCACCCTCTGCTTCCTCAGGCACTCCTAGGAGCTGGTGGAGTTCATTTGGAATTCCATGTACCTGTGATATGTACCCTTGACCCTCGGTTTCAAGATGTTGCACGTGAGATCCTGACCCTCTCCTGCCATGCTCCAGCTTTCAGCTTTAGTGAACCCAGGCCAATCAGCAGATCTCTTGTAGGGAAATGAATGTCCCACAAAGACTGGGAATGAGACTCCTCTTTCAGGCTGAAGAAAGGAGGGTCAAAGGAAAGAGTGATTTTAGGATTCTGGGACAACTTTAAGAAAAGCTCACGTTTTGCTTATGCCCCAGGCCTGGTGCAATGAGCAGAGCAAAGCCTTTACTTTGATATGAGGGACACCCCAAGAGGGGAAAGTTGACAGACAGATGAGGTAGGAGAGTGGCCAGCTCCTTTGAGAGATAATCTAATATCCCAGAAAGGATGTTAAAAGTGAGGTTGTAGTTTGGCGTGGTGGCTCACACCTGCAAACCCATCACTTTGGGAGTCCAAGGTGGGTGGAACACTTGAGGTCAGAAGTTTGAGACCAGCTTGGCCAACATGGTGAAACCCCATCTCTCCTAAAAATACAAAAGTTAGCTGGGTGTGGTGGCGTACACCTGTAATCCTGGCTACTCAGGAGGCTGTGGCAGGAGAATCACTTGAATTTAGGAGGCAGAGGTTGCAGTGAGTGAGCTGAGATCATGCCACTGCACTCCGGTCTTGGTAACAGAGTGAGCAAGACTCTGTCTCAAAAAAGAAGAAAAAAAAAAGGAGGTTCTTAAACTGCTCTGTAAATTCTAGGGTTAGTACCTTCCCAGTGAAGCCACAGGTGCAGAGCCAGGCCTCTGTTCTTCTCTGGCTGACAAGCACTCCCTACTAACACATTCAGAGCAGCCACCTCACAGAAGTGCTGAGTTTTCGGTGTGGTGGTTCTATGATGTTGGCCATGCCAACGAGACATGCCAGGAAGCATTACCTGGAGGTTCTGGGGACTGCAGGCGTTCTGGAGGAGAGCTGAAGCAGAGGCTTTGCGACCTAGAAGAAACCTCAAGGCTCCTTTAGCCCATCCCTAGCTGTCATTCTATAGACGCGGAAACAGGCGGGAAATGGCTTGCTCAAGAGCACACTGAGTTAGCGGCAACACTGGGTCCACCACACTGGTTGTTATGGTTCTTTTTTTTTTTTTTTTTTTGAGACGGAGTCTCACTCTGTCACCCAGGCTGGAGTGCAAAGGCATGATCTCAGCTCACTGCAACCTCCTGCCTCTCAGGTCCAAGTGATTCTCCTGCCTCAGCCTCCTGAGTAGCTGGGACTACAGGCACTTGCCACCGCGCCCGGCTAATTTTTGTATTTTCGGTAAAGACAGGGTTTCACCATGTTGGTCAGGCTGGTCTCGAACTCCTGACCTCATGATCTGCCAGCCTCAGCCTCCCAAAGTGCTGGGATTACAGGTGTGAGCCACCGTGCCTGGCTGGTTGTTATGGTTCTTAAAACTTACGTCCTCATGGTGAAAGTCTTAGGGCAACGTGGCGAAACTCTGTCTCTATAAAAAATACAAAAATTAGCCAGTTGTGGTGGCATGCACCTATACTCCCAGCTACTCAGGAGGCCTGGGTGGGAGGATGGCTTGAGCCTGGGAGGCGGAGGTTATGGTGAGCTGGGATTGTGCCACTGCATTCCAGCTTGGGTTGCAGAACGAGACCCTGTCTCAAAACAAAAGCAAAAACAAAAAACCCCACAAAACTTAGGTCCACCATACTAGATGATTCCTCACATACTCCCCATCTTAGTTCCTTACTGTGGGGCATGAATAAGCAGGGACTGTGCACGTTGGCCCAGAATGAAATGCTAACCAAACTGTGCAGGGACAATGCCACCATTAACCTCCAAAAGCCCTCACTTTTTGTCTGTGTCTAAAGTTGCTCTTCATCAGAAAGAACCAGACTCTGGTAGAAAGAAAACAGGTCTGCTTCCAGCAAAATCTTAAACCCTGTGGGGACATAGAATGAAAAGGGCCTAGAGGACCCTAAAATAAAGGAGACAGGGAACTTTGGGGATGCTTATTGCAAACGGTTATAATTAAAGTGGTATTTTACAAGTGTTTGTTTAAGACAGAGGGCAAACAGGCTCCCAGCCAGGCCTCAGCTTTAGAGGCCCATCCTGGAGGGGAAGCGGCACTTGCAGGGAACATGAGCTCAATCACTATTGCTCACTAAGCACAGAGTCACACTGGAGTCATCTTAGGGAGGCTGCGAGGAAGAAAAGGGAGTGCAGAGAGCCATGAAGCAACTACTTTAAATTCTGAATCTTGCTGTGTTCCCACTGAGCATGCTGCCTTCCTAGAGCAGACCTTGGAGCCATCCCAGGGACTAACACAGATCCTTCCTGGGGTGCAGTCTTCTCACGCTAGCGTAGGGTGCCTAGGTCATCCTCATTCTCATTTATCATCACAGACTTCTTTCTGCCTGCCAGATATCTTCCCTACTTGTGGCTTTAAAATACCAGCAGGAGGGAAAGCAAGGAATGTTCTCGTTAATATAAATCCATAGCAAAAACGATTTGAGAACTGGATGCTTCCCAGGGTTGGCAGCTGTGTGGATGGTTCCCTGCATTCTTTATCCACCGGGTGCTTGAATGGGTAGTGCTGTTTAGGCTGCCAAATGTCTGAGCTTTTCAGACTTGTTCATGTTTTTGAGAACCTATGGGGATAATCATCGGGCAGAATCAGAGCCCAGCAGAACACGGGGACGAGGAAGGGTAAAGGGGAAATCGACAGAGTCCTGAGGTCATCCCCGGGAGGAAGGGACACTACTTCCAGAAGTAGCAGCACAAAGGGCTCTGCCGGGACTCTGCGGAGGGGATCCGGGGTACTGGGGGTGGAGAGGTCCCCTCTTGCAGTGTGGGGTTACTGTTTGGGTAAAGCGAAGTCCCAAGCAGTTTCCTGTGCACATTTCCACATGGCCTGCATGAGGCGAGTGAAACCCATGTCTTTAGGCTTTTCCAGGCCTCTCATCAGCCGTTGCTTCATGATGGAAACAAATTCTTTATTGCTCAGCTCACCATTGCCTAGAGGAAGAGGCAAACACAACAGGGATAAGTGTTGGCCTAGGAACAATACCACTGAGAAAATTCCATTGTCCACACAAAGTGGATTCCAAAGCCCAGACATTCTCACAGCCAAACTCAATTCTCTTATCTTAGAATTCATTAGTTTATTCCTTCCTTGATATTACCGACTGCAACTCAGTGACAGTTCAGTGTAGTGTGACAAAAGTTGAATGAAAATACAGTATATGCCAGGTCTTGTGCCAACTGTTTAGAACAAGGAGATAAATGAGCTTTGAGCTTTGTCCCTTGAAATACTCCCGAGTTGTAAGAGAGACACATTATTACCACAGTGTGGGGTAAACAGAGGATGCTATGGGGGCACAGAGGAAGAATCTCCCACCCTGACTGAGGGTGATGCAAGGACAGACAGTAAAGGCTTCCTGGAAGTGACTCCTGAGTAGAATCTCACAGGATTAGCAGCAATTGGCCAAGTGAAGGGCAGGTGGGGGAGGCATTCCAGGAGGAGAAGTAGCATAGGCAAGGGTACAGGCAGGACGCAGTGTGGTTGCTAGGGAACTACAAGTAGGCAGTTAGGTATTGCTGGACACTAAAGAGGCAGGTGTTTGGGAAGTAAACTAAGGAGGAAGGCAGGGAGCCGAGTGTGGTGACTTGTGCTTGTTATCCTAGCTACTTGGGAGGCTGAGGCAGGAGGATCTCTTGAGGTCAAGAGTTTAAGACCAGCCTAGACAACATAGTGTGACCCTGTCTCTAAAAATTTTTTTCAAATTAACTGGGCATAGTGGTAGACACTTGTAGTCCCAGCTACTTGGGAGGCTAAGGCAGGATGATCGCTTGATTACCACCCAGTGATTGCAGCAATCGCCAGGAGCCAAGGCTGCAGTGTGCTATGATGGCCGCTGCACTCCAGCCTGGGTGACACAGTGAGACCATGTCTCTAGGGGGAAAAAAAAAGAGGTGGGCAGGAGACAGGTACCCCAGGGTGTGTATTGCTCCTAAAGGGCTGGCACTTTCTCTTCCAGGCAATGGAACAGCAGAAAAAACTGGAAGCAGGGGAGTAAGAAGTAGGCAGATTTCCACTGTGGACAGATTTTTCTGGCTGGCTGTGTGAGGATGAATTGGAAGGCAGCACACCTGGAATATGGGGTCAGTTAGGAGACTGCTGCAATAGCATCTCTGCTGCAGTGGAGAGATGGTGAAGGGTTTCATGGGGAAAACCAAAATCAAACTTCAGCTTTGGATCCAGCCTATTTTCTCATGGTTTCCCAATCCACCCTCTTCAGCGTCAGAATCTCAGGGCTGGAAGAAACTTTGGAGAGCATCTGTTTTGTTTGTTTGTTTGTTTGTTTTGAGACGGAGCCTTGCTCTGTCGCCCAGGCTGTAGTGCAGTGGCGTGATCTCAGCTCACACAACCTCCGCCTCCCAGGTTCAAGAGATTCTCCTGCCTCAGCCTCCCGAGTAGCTGGGACTAGAGGCACGTGCCACCATGCCCGGCTAATTTTTGTAATTTTTTTTCTTTTGAGATGGAGTCTTGCTCTGTCACCCAGACTGGAGTCTCTCTCTGTTGCCCAGGCTGGAGTGCAGTGGCAAGATCTTGGCTCACTGCAACCTCCACCTGCTGGGTTCAAGAGATTCTCCTGCCTCAGCCTCCTGAGTAGCTGGGACTACAGGCATGTGCCACCACACCTGGCTAATTTTTGTATTTTTAATAGAGATGGGGTTTCACTATGTTGGCCAGGCTGGTCTCCAACTCCTGACCTCATGATCCGCCCATCTTGGCCCCCCAAAGTGCTGGGATTATAGGCATGAGCCACCGCGCCTGGCCCTAATGTTTTTGCATTTTTAGTAAAGATGGGGTTTCACTATGTTGGCCTGGCTGGTCTCAAACTCCTGACCTTATGATCCACCTGCCTCGGCCTCCCAAAGTGCTGGGATTACAGGTGTGAGCCACCGCGCCCGCCGGAGAGTATGTGTTTGTTTATTTTTTTTTTTTTTTGAGATGGAGTCTCGCTCTGTCACCCAGGCTGGAGTGCAGTGGCGCGATCTCGGCACACTGCAAGCTCCGCCTCCCAGGTTCATGCCATTCTCCCGCCTCAGCCTCCTGAGTAGCTGAGACCACAGGTGTCTGCCATCATGACTGGCTAATTTTTTTGTATTTTTAGTAGAGACAGGTTTCATCGTGTTAGCCAGGATGCTATCGATCTCCTGACCTCGTGATCCGCCCGCCTCGGCCTCCCAAAGTGCTGGGATTATAGGCGTGAGCCACAGAGCCTGGCCGAGAACATCTGTTTTAACTAGAAATCACCCAAGCCACACGGAACAGTAACCACCGTGATAGCAGACGTACAGTCACCCCTTGCAAGACAGCCAGGAGCCTGTTGATTAAAAGAATGACACCCATTACTGGTGGTGGTAAGACAGCAGGAAACCCACAAACCTACCTCTACTCATGATTGGTCTGGGAGGAGTGTGGAAGGAAGGAATAAATGGTTTACTTCTGTAGAGTACCCAAAACCTAAACTGGCTCATGTTTTCTGGCTGAAGAGAGTATGGGCATCCTCAGAGACAGGAAACCCCCACAGCAAGACAAAACCCAAAACCAAACCCAACAAAACAAAACCCAAAACCAAAACAAAAAAACCTTTGGCTTATTTACATAAAGTACAAAGGTAAAACTGTGTTACTAGAAGTCAGAAAAGTGGTGACTCTTGGGGAAGGAAGTGACCGGAGGTACCAAGTGGGGCTCTGTAGTCCTGGTAATGTGATGTTTCTAAATAATGCTGGTTATACAAGTGTGTTCAGCTTTTTAAAAATTCACCAAGCTGTATGCTTAAGATATTTGTACTTTAGGCTGGGCACAGTGGGTCACGCTTGTAATCACAGCACTTTGGGAGGCCGAGGCGGGCAGATGGCTTAAGACCAGGAGTTCGAGACCAGCCTGGTCAGCATGATAAAACCTCGTCTCTACTAAAAATACAAAAAATTAGCTGGGCGTGGTGGTGGGCGCCTATAATCCCAGCTACTTGGGAGGCTGAGGCATGAGAATCATTTGAATTTGGGAGGTGGAGGTTGCAGTGAGCAGAGATGGCATCACTGCACTCCAGCCTGGGTGACAGAGTAAGACTCTGTCTCAAAAAAAAAAATTGTACTTTTCCATATGTATATTATATTGCAATATAATAAAAAGTTAAAAAATAGCCTTGCTTGGGCTGGGTGCAGTGGCTCACGCCTATAATCCCAGCACTTTGGGAGGCCGAGACGGGCGGATCACAAGGTCAGGAGATCAAGACCATCCTGGCTAACACGGTGAAACCCCGTCTCTACTAAAAATACAAAAAAATTAGCTGGGTGTGGTGGCGGGAGCCTGTAGTCCCGGGTACTCAGGAGGCTGAGGCAGGAGAATGGTGTGAACCTGGGAGGCAGAGCTTGCAGGGAACTGAGATCGCGCCACTGCACTCCAGCCTGGGTGAGACTCTTTGTCAAAAAAAAAAAAAAAAAAGGGCCTTGCTTGGCTGAAAAATAATGAATAATTTGGCTTATCAAGAATGTAGGCTGAGGCCAAGCACAGTGCCTCACGCCTGTAATCCCAGCACTTTGGGAGGCTGAGGCGGGTGGAGAACCTGAGGTCAGAAGTTCGAGACCAGCCTGGCCAACGTGGTGAAACCCTGTCTCTACTAAAAATACAAAAAAATTAGCCGGGCGTGGTGGCGGGCACCTGTAATCCCAGCTACTTGGGAGGCTGAAGCAGGAGAATTGCTTGACCCCAGGAGACAGAGGTTGCAGTGAACCATGACTGTGCCACTGCACTCCAGCCTGCGCAACAAGAGTGAAACTCCATCTCAAAAAGAAAAAAAAAAAAAAAAAGCCGGGCGCGGTGGCTCAAGCCTGTAATCCCAGCACTTTGGGAGGCTGAGACGGGCGGATCACGAGGTCAGGAGATCGAGACCATCCTGGCTAACACGGTGAAACCCCGTCTCTACTAAAAAAATACAAAAAACTAGCCGGGCGAGGTGGCGGGCGCCTGTAGTCCCAGCTACTCGGGAGGCTGAGGCAGGAGAATGGCAGGAACCCGGGAGGCGGAGCTTGCAGTGAGCTGAGATCCGGCCACTGCACTCCAGCCTGGGCAACAGAGCGAGACTCCGTCTCAAAAAAAAAAAAAAAAAGAAAAAAAAAAGAAAAGGAATGTAGGCTGAGGCATGGTGGCTCACACCTGTAATCTCAGCACTTTGGGAGGTTAAGGTGGATCATTTGAGCTCAGGAGTTCAAGACCAGCATGAGCAATATAGTGAGACCTTGTCTCTACAAAAAGTTAAAAAATAAGCTGAGCATGGTGGTGCCTGCCTGTAATCCCAGCTACTTGGGAGGCTGAAGTGGGAGAATTGCTTGAGTCTGAAAGGAGGGGGTTGTGGTGAGCCAACATTGTGCCCCCGCACTCCAGCCTGGCAACAGAGCAAGATGCTATCTCGAAAAAAAAAAAAAAGAAATGTACGCCAGGTGTGGTGGCTCATGCTTGTAATCTCAGCAACTCAGGAGACCAAAGCAAGAGGACAGCTTTAGGCCAGAAGTTTGAGACGAGCTTGGGCAACATAGCAAGACCCCTTCTCTACAAAAAATTAAAAAAAAAAAAAAAACTAGCTGGGTGTGGTGGCATGTGCCTCCAAAGCTACTCGAGAGGCTGAGGTGAGGGGATCACTTGAACTCAGGAGTTTGAGGTTACAGTGAGCTATGATCTCATCACCACATTCCTGCCTGGTGACAGAGCAGGTGCAGTGGCTCATGCCTGTAATCCCACCATTTTGGGAGGCCAAGAAGGGAGGACTACTTGAGTCAGGAGTTTGAGGCCAGCCTAGAAAACACAGTGAGACCTCTCTCTAAAAAAAACAAAAACAAATAAAAAAAATGTAATTAAGAGAACAGAAAGTTCTCAACACGGGTGGATCACGAGGTCAGGAGATCGAGACCATCCTGGCTAACCCGGTGAAACCCCGTCTCTACTAAAAAATACAAAAAACTAGCCGGGCACGGTGGCGAGCGCCTGTAGTCCCAGCTACTCGGGAGGCTGAGGCAGGAGAATGGTGTAAACCCGGGAGGCGGAGCTTGCAGTGAGCTGAGATCCGGCCACTGCACTCCAGCCTGGGCGACAGAGCGAGACTCCGCCTCAAAAAAAAAAAGAAGCTTGAGGCTGGGTGCGGTGGCTCACGCCTGTAATCCCAGCACTTTTGGAGGCTGAGGCAGGTGGATCACCTGAGGTCAGGAATTCAAGACCAGCCTGGCCAACAGGGTAAAACCCTGTCTCTACTAAAAATACAAAAAAAGTTAGCTGGGTGTGGTGGTGGGTGCCTGTAATCCCAGCTACTCGAGAGGCTGAGGCAGGAGAGTCGCTTGAAACTGGGAGGCGGAGGTTGCAGTGAGTCGAGATCGTGCCACTGCACTCCAGCCTGGGCAACAAGAACTTGACCCCAGGAGGCAGAGGTTGCAGTGAACCAAGACTGTGCTGTTGCTGTTGCACTTCAGCCTGGGCAACAAGAGGGAGCCTCAGAAAAAAAAAAAAAAAAAAAAAGAAGCAGCTTGAAAATGAAAAAATATGAAGTCACTTCACTCAAACTACTATGGGTTTGCCTTCTGCTTCCATAAGGACAGAGATGACCACATGACCACTATGAGTGGATTTTGTTACTGTGAACCAGGTCTATAACTGTATGTTACTGGCATGCATGCGTGATTTGTGAGTTCAATTCTAAAATCTGTGATGAAGAAGTCTATTTGAAAATCGAATTCTCCATCCCCTGGCACTTTATTTTGTTTATTTATTTTATTTTTTTGAGATGAGGTCTTGCTCTGTTGCCCAAGCTGGAGTGCAGTGCTAGGATCATACCTCACTACAGTCGCAAACTCCTGGGCTCAAGTGATGCTCCCACCTCAGCTTTCCAGTAGCTACAACTACAGGCACACACTCCCACACCCTGGCTAAACTTATTTTTTGTAGAGATGGGATCTCGCTATGTTGCCTAAGCTGGTCTTGAACTCCCGGCCTCAAGCGATCCTCCCATCTCAGCCTCCCAGGTTGCTGGGATGACAGTTGTGAGCCATTCTACAGGCTTTCCTTTGGCATTTTGACCTAAGATCTTGCAGTGGTAAAAGTAACAATGGCTTTTAAATTAAGTATACTTTTTTCTTTCTAGATTAATAAAACTCAGGGATGTTAAATAATTTTCCAAAGGTGATTTAAGTAGATATTGACAGAGCCTCTTTCTAAAAAGCTAGAAAATCAAACATTTCCCAGAACTTCTAGGGAAAAGGGGGGACTTGAGAAGTTAGTCGCATTTATTCCCATATTTACTTCACAGACCAGCTCTTGGATATTGGCTTCAAAAATTATAAAAATAATAAAAATATATTTTATTTGGAAAAATTTTAAACCACCTAGAAGTGATTGGAGTGAAAACAAAAATCTGGAGAAAGTGAATATATGTCTACAGCAGTGCTGTGCATTAGAACTCCCTGCGATGTGGGAAATGTTTTATATTTCAGTACAGTAGCCACTAGCTAGTTTAAATTTAAACGTAGCCTTTGTAGGGACATGGATGCAGCTGGAAACCATCATTCTCAGCAAACTATTTCAAGAACAGAAAACCAAATACCGCATGTTCTCACTCATAGGTGGGAATTGAACAATAAGATCACTTGGACACAGGAAGGGGAACATCACACACCGGGTCCTATTGTAGGGAGCGGGGAAGGGGGAGGGATGGCATTGAGAGATATACCTAATGTAAATGATGAGTTAATGGGTGCAGCACACCAACATGGCACATGTATATATATGTAACAAACCTGCATGTTGTGCACATGTACCCTAAAACTTAAGGTATTAAAAAAAAAAATTTAATGTAGCTAATAGCCACATGTGCCTTGGGGGTATCATACTGTGGGCAGGGCAGCTCTAGAGAATAAACCCACCCCTACGTGAGAGTGAGGCCCTCTCCTTAACCTAGCCCTAGGGCTTCCTTTGAGTTCAACCTTGGTTTTGTGGGTACAGGCTGGATATTTTTTTTTTTTATTTAATTGTATTTTTTGAGACAGGGTCTCACTCTGTCACCCAGGCTGGAGTGCAGTGGTGCGCTCATGGCTCACTGCGGCCTTGACCTCCCAGCTTCAAGCAATCTTCTCACTTCAACCTCCTGAGTAGCTGGGACTACAGGCACACATGTGCCACCATGCCTGGCTAATTTTTAAAATTTTTTGTAGAGACGAGGTCTCACTATATTGCCCAGGCTGGTCTCAAACTCCCGGGCTCAAACAATCTTCCTGCCTTAGCCTCTTAAAGTGCTGGGATTACAGGTATGAGCCACCACGCCAGGCCAAGGCTAGAGATTTAAATAACTCAAGTTCAACTTAATAACACAAATAATTCAAGTTAATGAACACCTATTATGTGAGAAGTACTATCCAAGGTCCTATGTGAGAAGGAAGGTGAAAACGACTTGCAACTACCCTTAAAAAGCTCAGGGAACCAAGTTAAGGAATAAAAAAGCCCAGAAGTGATTCATTATGCTGGGACCGAAAGGGAAGCTCCATAGGCTGGAGCTTCTGAGGAGGCACTTGAATTCCATTAGCCCAGCTTTCTGGAGGATGACAAACAACAAATACTGGCTGTGGGGTAAGAGAGGGTGGTAATACATTAAACAGAACACAGGGGGCAGTACAGTTTTAGTTTAAATCCTGGTTTTGCCATCTACTATTTATTTACTTTTTTTGAGATACAGTCTCGCTCTGTCGCTCAGGCTGGAGTGCTGTGGCACGGTCTCTGCTCCCCGCTGCCTCCTGGGTTCAAGTGATTCTCTTGCCTCAAGCCTCCACCACTGTGCCTGGCTAATTTTTGTATTTTTAAGAGAGACAGGGTTTCACCATGTTGGCCAGGCTGGTCTTGAACTTCTGACCTCAGGTGATCTGCCTGCCTCAGTCTCCCAAATACTATTATCTTGGTGATCTTAGGAAATTTACTTAATCTCTCTGAGTCTCAGCTTTCTCATCAGTAAAAAGTGGTCAATAACAATACCTAGGTCAGAAGATTAAATGAGCAGATTAACTTTCTGGCTCATAGTAAGCATTGAAAAAATGTAAGCATCCACTGTTATTGTTGTTATTAGTATATCAGCTACCATACCTAAAAAATAATGCCAAGGTCAAACCAGAACCAGATCTCTTGAATGGGCTACACGACAGAGCAGAGTGGCCACAGACACAACAGACCACTGTGTGGAGCTGGAATGCTATGGAGATGGAATGCGACTGGCTGGAATGTGTGCTGGGAGGTGGAGAGATCAGTGCTGTCTTCTTTCTAAAGACATTCAGATACTTGAGTGCTCTGTATCTACTAAGCAGCAAGTTGAGTCTGACATTTTTAAGATGCTTATGGTCATAAATTAATTTAGGCCTATAGGCATATTGGAATTACAAGAAGAAGAAATGGAAAACAGAAGTCAGGGCCAGGGGTTCGATTTCTCAGTATCATCATGCCGCAGGCTGAGCTGCTGATGTGGGAAAGGTGGGTAGCTTGAAGAGGATGGGCTGGTACACTGATGCTGTCTGCAAGGCTCCATTATACACGGGGCCTCTAAGGGCAGCTAGGCTGTTTCCCCTCCTGACTCCAGAGGGCCCCACTCACCATCACAGTCAAAGAGCGCAAACACCACATCACACACGTGGTCTGAGAGCTCCACTTTAGCCACTGTCCTGGCCACCTGCTGCATGGTCACTGAAAAAAGAAAGAGGAGCATTAGCACAGCAGAGGGACTTTCATTTTGCTTTCTCTGATTCAGGGGATAAAACAACTCAGTCATAATACAAGTTTTCAACTGCATTTAAGTCACATTTCAGAAAATGGTAAGCTAGGCCAGCCACAGTGGCTCACGCCTGTAATTCCAGCACTTTGGGAGGCCGAGGAGGGTGGATCGCCTGAGGCCAGGAGCTCAAGACCAGCCTGGCCAAGATGGTGAAACCCTGTCTCTACTAAAAATACAAACAATTAGCCGGGCATGGTAGCAGGCGCCTGTAGTCCCAGCTACTTGGGAGCCTGAGGCAGAGAATTGCTTGAACCCGAGAGGTGGAGGCTGCAGTGAGCCGAGATCATGCCACTGCTCTCCAGCCTGGGAGAGCGAGACTCCGTTTCAAAAAAAAAAAAAAAAGAAAATGATAATTGAGTTTTTATTCATAACCTCCATAACCTCCCTCCTTTTCACCTCAAGTTCTGTTCTTTTCTACTGCTGCTACACTTTAGGAGGTATATATAGTTAATTAAGAATGCCTAGGCTGGCCAGGCGCAGTGGCTCACACCTGTAATCCCAGCACTTTGGGAGGCTGAGGCAGGTGGATCACCTGAGATCAGAGTTCGAGACCAGTCTGGCCAACATGGTGAAACCCCGTCTCTACCAAAGATACAAAAAATTAGCTGGGCATGGTGGTGGGCGCCTGTAATCCCAACTACTCAGGAGGCCGAGGCAGGAGAATCACATGAACATAGGAGGCAGAGGTTGCAGTGGTTCATCCTTATAATCCCAGCACTTTGGGAGGCTGGGGGGAGCAGATTGCTCGAGCTCAAGAGTTCGAGACGAGCATGAGCAACATGGCGAAACCCTGTCTCTACCAAAAATGCAAAAAATTAGCCCAGCATGGTGGCGCACACCAGCTACTTGGGAGGCTGAAGTGGGAGGATAGCTTGAGCCCAAGAGGCAGAGGTTTCAGTGACCTGAGATGGCGCCACTGTACTCCAGCCTGTGCAACAGAGACACTGTCTCAAAAAATAAAAAGTGCCTGATATTCAATTTATAGACAGAAAATAGATTAGAGATTATCATGGGCTGAGGGGAGTGGGGAGTTAGTGCTTTATGTATACAGAATTTCTGTCTGGGGTGATGGAAACATTTTGAAAATAGTGATGATGGTTGTACAACATTGTGAATGTAATTAATGTAATTCCACTGACTTGTATATTTAAAAATGGTTATAATGGCACATTTTATGCCATATATATTTTTATATATTTTATATATATATTTATAGAAATATATAAATGGGGGTGAGAACAAGGAGGCTTGTCTGTGGTGTGAGTACACTAAGGCTTCACGCCTCGGTGGCTGATTGACAGCTAAGTGCCTGCACAGTGAGCCCTCCTTGCCCAGCTCTGTCCCTCTTCCCTACTGGTTTTGCACCAGACTTCTTCCAACTGAGTCCATTGGGATATGCACTGGCCCTTGTCTTAATAGTTCAGGATGCATATCTTTCTTTTTGTTTTGAGACAGAGTCTTACTCTGTCCACCAGACTGGAGTGCAGTGGCGCGATCTCAGCTCACTGCAACTGCTGCTTTCCAGGTTCAAGCGATTCTCCTGCTTCAGCCTCCTGAGTAGCTGGGACTACTGGTGCCCACCACCATGCCTGGCTAATTTTTATATTTTTAGTAGAGACGGAGTTTCACCATATTGGCCAGAGTGGTCTCGAACTCCTGACCTCAGGTGATCTGCCCACCTCGGCCTCTCAAAGTGCTGGGATTACAGGCGTGAGCCACTGCGCCCAGTGTGCCTGGCCAATAGTTCAGGATGCCTATCTTTCTTTAAAAATATATATATTTTTAGACCTCAACAAAAAATCACTTTTTTCTTGCCGTTTTCTCTTTCCCTGACATTTACTGTCAAACACTAGCAATTATGTTAGAATTGGGTTCTCATGAAAGACAAGACAGGAAGGACCAGGCAATTTCCACCACCTTCTCTCTTATTTATCCTCAAACCTGGTCTAGCTACACCTATAAATCATGTTATTGCATCTGGACACATTCTTAAGTGAGGTAAAATGAGGGAAAGAAAAGGATTAATTTCCATTTATGCTGGTAATGAAGAGCTCTCTATAATCATCACATTAGATTCATCCAGAAGCCAAGTGAACTTAAACTAGAACCAGAGTGCCTTGTTTATTGCATTCCTATGATTTCAGTTCCTGTTATCAGCCCATCTTGTCATTTTTATTCACATTTGATCTTTCACTTTGCCTCTATAACCTCCACATATTCAACACCTGATATGGTTTAGATTTGTGTCCCCACCCAAATCTTATGTCAAATTGTAATTCCCAGGCCAGGCGTGGTGGCTCACACCTGTAATCCCAGCACTTTGGGAGGCTGAGGCAGGTGGATCACCTGAGGTCAGGAGTTTGAGACCAGCCTGGCCAACATGGTGAAACCCTGCCTCTACTAAAATAAATACAAAAATTAGCTGTGCATGGTGGTGCGCCCCTATAGTCTGAGCTACTCAGGAGGCTGAGGCAGGAGAATTGCTTGAACCTGGGAGGCGGAGGTTGCAGTGAGCCAAGATTGTGCCACTGCTCTCCAGCCTCCGTTACAGAGCAAGACTCGGTCTCATAAAAACAAAACAAAAACAAAAACAAAACAAAACAAACCCCAAAAAACCAAAAACAAATAGTAATCCCCAGTGTTGGAGGAGGGGCCTGGTGGGAGGTGACTGGATCATTGGGGCAGATTTCCCCCTTGCTGTTCTCATGATAGTGAGCGAGTTCTCATGAGATCTCGTTGTTTAAGTGTGTGGCACCTCCCACCTGTCTCTCTTCCTCCTGCTCTGGCCATGTGAGACGTGCCTCCTTCCTCTTCACTTTCCACCAGGATTATAAGTTTCCTGAGGCCTCCTCAGCCATGCTTCCTGTACAGCCTGTGGAACTGTGAGCCAATTAAGCCTCTTTTCTTTATAAATTACCCAGTCTCAGGTAGTTCTTTATAGCAATGCAAGAATTAATTAATATATCACCACAGTGCCCCCAACATCAGCAGATGCAAATACCGGAGCAATGCAGAGGAGCAAGGTGACGCGCTAGAAAACAACGTTTGGAGTAACGGGACCTGGGCTCCAGTTCTGGCCCCACCACCAATGTGCTATGTGACCCGGATGGAGTCACTTGATCTCTTTAGATTTAATTTTCTCATGTTCAAGTGGAGGGATGCACCAGACAACTGCTGAAGCAGCTTACTAGCACAAAGAAGAGTTTATTGGTGTCATCTAGAATCTGAGGGTGGCGATGGGGTGGAAATATACCATCTTTTCTCCGAGGATCTGAGTTAGGGTGAAGAAGAAACTAACATTCCTTGGTACTAAAAGACTGAAGTATAAGATACTGTGGTGGATATTCATGAGATGTGTGTTGGGAAATCTATAAGACTGTAGAGCTCTAGAGTTTAGAAATTTAGCCTCACAAATCTAGATACTTGATTTGACTCAGGAAGAACTTATTCCTGCTAACTACACTGTCCACAGAAGGAACAGAAATCAGGCCAATTTGCAATGAGAATAGTAACTGTTAAGAGAACTACAATGATGACAGCTGGTCATTATACTTCTCAGTAGGAAAGCTACTAAGGAAACTCCATTCACCTCAGAAGATTAACCTCAAAAGATTACTCAGCGAAAACAGAATGAGATCAGAAGGAACTGGAAGCGATCAAACTGTGATTGCCTACAGCTCTCCTCTTCGCCACCACAGAAATGTGTCCTGAGAAGGGGATCAGAACCTGTTCTGTATTAGATACACATGAACACTTTCTGTTAACCATTCTTTTTTCTGCATTTCGTATCAACCTTAAGCTTCTAACTTCCTTTTCTCTTTCCCAGTTCTTCTATTCTCTCAGGGCACAGCCTTCTGCAATTGTCTTGATATTTCAAGTACTCATCTTCTCCCCATGAAGATGGTGCCCTTTCCTGTAAATAAACCATTAATTAAATAATACTCAAGGATGTCAGTGAGAGCTCTTGACAATTTCTAGTGAGAGGCTCATTAAACTGGTATTAAGTGGCTGTAGAACAGGGACTTCTGGAGTCCTCCAACAAGAATGTCTCATTAGAGATGCCATCTCTTCACAGAAAGTTATAGATTATGTTCCATCTCACATGGAGAGGGCTCTGGTGTCCTTCCTACCATAGGAAGAAGAACTAGGGCTGCTAAATTACTGTAGCCCAAACCACTGGGATGTTAGCCAGCAAACAGCCTAGCTGGGGTCCCCTTTCATGGTACAAGATCCTCATTATAGGCCCCTGGGGTATGAATCAGAGTCGTGAAGGAAGCCAACATTTAACTAGCTGGTGAGCTGTCAAACTAGGAGCCCCTGGGATGAGTGGGATGACAGCAGATTACAAGCCAAGTGCTTGACAGCTGGTCCTGAGAGTTGGTTCATTCATATTTGCTTCCAATATCTCTGAATCCAAAGCCATAAACCACAGCAAGCAGAACAAGTTTTCCTCCCACGTCTTGACTTTTCTATGCAGACCAGTTATTGGTACTGGAATTCTGGCCTCCCTATTTGATGACGCTAACTGATTGATGGTTGGGATTCCAGTTCCCGATCTGAAAGATGGCTACAGGGAGCATGAAGGCACCCCAGTGAAGGCCTAGCTTTCTAAATACCATGTATTTTTGTACAAATCTGGCTCAGCTGCCTGAACAATGGGTTTAAGCGCGATTGGGTGATTCCTATTAGATTGGGATGGGAGAGAATTTGTAGAAGTGGGCTCAACTGGTACTCAAAAATCTGGCACCATCTGGCTTTTTGCAAAGTCCAGGCAGAATCTGAGTTGTGTCAGGTCCCCAATTTACTCTCTGGCATGATTCATGACTAGCCATTTCAACAGTAGAAAGAAACCCTGAGTTTGTGTGACATAACATGAGAAACTACATACATAAATCTATTCACCACAATAGTT